CCCCCCCCCGATCTACCAGCATCAGCTCTGAGAGCTACTGCTAGATCACCATCTACCTAATGGGCACCCCTGCCCTAGATATTCTGCAGCATCCAAGATTGTGAAGACTGGACAAGCTCCCCATAGCACCCCGGGCACATCAGCTCTTCCAATTCCAGAGGGAGCAGAGCCAAGGTGGTCCAGGCAAGATCTTGGAAGGAGCACACACTGCCAATGTATCCCATAATTGGGATTTTTACTCACGGATAATTGGGTTGGATGACTGAAACCAGCACACCAGTACGGCTTCATCTCATTCACCAAGCTAAGTGAAAATTCACTGAACGTGTCCCATTCCTCAAATCCACCCCAGTCCGCGATAGCCCACAATGTTGAGCTCCCAATTTTTGTTGTTTACGTACAGAAAATTGTCTTTCGGTTAAATAAATATTTTTTTAAAAAACTAAACAAACATATTTTTTACTTTGTAGCCTTTATTATAAAGCAATCACTCTATTTGAAGCGCAGTTTTATTACAGCATTTGAATTTTTTTTTTTATCCATTCACTAACGAAAGAAGAAATATAATACCCAAAAGAAAAGTTCCATAAGCACAACAAAAACAAAAAGCATGTTTTAATATAAAACTTATAACGACAATATGTGTCCAGGTTAATGTCAAGCACTAAGATTCGCCCAATGAAAACCGAGGGCTCATTCAGAGGGACGTGCACGGCCTTAAAGAAGATCCCGCCGAACTTGTGTACGCCCGTCTGAATGTGCGCCCTTAGGATCAGAGTCACAAATTTTCTATAAACAATGATTGTTCTTATTTGGTATAGAAGCTTTTGATTAATTGTAACAAAATTAATTGTAATAAACGTTATTAATTGTATACAGTTTCTATATTATTTTTTATTTCCTTTATTTTAACTTTAATCAAAAATATATATATTTTTTCCGTGAAGTATCATTTTTTTTTTAATATATAAAATAGAAGCCCAGCCTAAAAAAAAAAAATATTTCGGTGACTACCCACACATGCTTTTTTTTTAATGCAGAATTGTAATAATAATAATTTTTAAAAAAATGTTTCATTTCATTTTTTGGACTGAAGCTGCACAAAAAGCTTTCACAGACTGCAGCTGGTTTATGTGATTTGTGAACACAGCCGTCAACTGGAATTAGTTCCAGCGGCAAACGCACCGACGGGGTTCTCCCAGCAAGAGCATAAAGCTTTTTCTAAATAATTTAAAGCCACTAGACCTCATTTAATAAAGTAAAACAAAACAAAAAAACAACAATTATATTATTCTACCGGCTTTGGTTAGATTTCCCCTTTAAGATCCAAAGGGGAACGAGCTATGGCTTTATTCTCTATCAGTCACTGCTTTTCTCTTCCTCATAATGGTGGCAAGTGGTGGGTGGTCGTGATTGGCAAGGATTACTTGCCATGGTTGATGATGGATTGATATCAATGGACAATGTGATTGACGTGGATTTACATCGAAATAAATTAATTTATTGTATTGTGTTTGTTTATTTACATTTAACCTTTTTGGGTAATGGATAACAAAGGGTACTAAAAAATGTATCCCTGTTCTCATTCCCCTGGGGGCAGATATCTAGGAGCCCCCTTATTATAAAGGGACATCCTACTATAAGTTCCCCCCAATAATCACTACATCCTTCCTAAGGTATCAGATGTGGCCCTTGACAACACTGGGACAAGGTGGCCTGCAAGGTAGAGAAGGCTTTGCGAGGTCCCCCCTTAATATTGAAAGGCATATGGACTGGTCCGGTACTGGTGAAAGGTTGGAGGGACTGACCTCATGCTCACTGCCCAACTTTTCCTGGCCTCCCAGTCTGCATGCCTGGATAAGAGCCTGGGTGGAGGTTTAAGGTGAACCCCATACTGTTTTATATAGTCAAAGTATATCATATTATGTAACACAACATGCAGCTTAAAGGCATCTCCCAAGCATGCAACTTGAAGAATCTGTGTGTTCCTCTTTAAGCTGCATGAAAAGACGCTCTCTCCAATGATCAGCATTGGTCATGGCTACATGCCCCCCATGGCAGTGCCCACCGTGCCATACTTATTAGCATTGAAATGGCCAGAAAAAGGTAATTTCATCTCCAACAGACTTCAATGGGGTTCAGTGCTAAGTTCAGGGTTCATAGACATTGCGATGGGTTCACCGAACCCAACTTGAACTCAAACCGGGGCAGATCTGCTCATCCCTATCAATACAGAATTGTCCTGTCTTTGCGGATATAACAGTCTTATCTGCGAAGCTTCCCACAAGACTTTGGAGTCTATAGTAATATGTGTCTATTCGGCCAAAAGAGCATTTGTGAGGTCAGGTACTGATGTTGAATGGGAAGACATGGTTCACAAATGGCGTTCCCATTTATCCCAAAGGTGTTTAGTGGGCTGAGGTCGGGGATCTGTGCAGGACACTTGAGTTCCTCCGCACAATAATGGTCAAGCCATGTCTTTATGGACCTGGCTTTGTACACATGGGACCGTCATGTTCAATAGGGTTGAGATTAGAGCTCTGTGCAGGACAATCGACTTCCCCCACACCATACTGGACAAGCCATGTCTCTATGGAGCTGACTTTGTTCACAGGGGACAGTCATGTTCAGTATGGTTGAGGTCAGGGCTCTGTGCAGGACACTTGAGTCCCTCCACACCAGACTTGTCAAAGCATGTCTTTATGGAGCTGGCTTTGTACATGGGACAGTCATGTTCAGTTGAGTTGAGGTCAGAGCTCTGTGCAGAACACTTGAGTTCCTCCACAATAAACTGGTCAAACCATGTCTTTATGGAACCGGCTTTGTACACAGGGGGCAGTCATGTTCAGTAGGGTTGAGATTAGAGCTCTGTGCAGGACACTCAAGTTCCTCCACATCAAACCTTGTCTTTACGGAGCTGGCTTTGTGGGGTTCAGTAGGGTTGAGGTGACCCCCAACCCTACTGAACATGCACGGAGCTCTGTGCAGGACACTTGAGTTCCTCCACACCAAACTTGTCAAACCATGTGCTTATAGAGTTAGCTTTGTACACATGGGGACAGTCATGGTGGAACAGAGAAGGGCCTTCACTAAAGTGATACCACAAGGTGGGAAGAGCACAACTGTCTAGCATATTGTAGCATTAACAGTACCTCTCACTGGAAACACCTGAACTCCATCATTTGGATGGGTGTTCTCATACTTCTGCCATATAGTATAAGTGCAAAGTTCTATTAGCATCACTCGATATCAACACCATATAAAACTGGAAAGTGCAAGTATATGTTATATTCAAAAAGAAATGTGCCGTACACTGCATATCAAAGTGCAAAATGAACACAATATAAAACATCTTAGTTACGTACTCCAAATGGTATCACTTTGTAATTTCTGAACTTTCACATGTGTGCAAATAGCATTGAAAGCTGTAACATTTATAAAAAGTCACAAAGTTCATTCCGATTTCCAATTAACGGTGACACGAAAATTTTAATCCTTACCAGGGGGGAGGAGTCCGGTGACGTCGATGTCCGTGACGTCACCTCATCGCCGACGGAACTCCCGGAAGCCGGCGGAGAGGGGAGTGTTTTCATTAGCGATCAAAATAATTTTAATCGATCAAAAAGTTTAACAATTAATCGAGAAATTAATCTTTAATTTCCACAGCCCTAATATATATATCTGCTTGGAGATTACGAAGAATATTTTCAACATTTTTTTTAACTCTTCATGGAAGAGAAAGAACATAAAAATACTTCTTGCTACATACTATATACATCAAAACTGGTAACATCCACTTCAGGAAACAACCATTCTTTCTACAAAGTCGAAACAAAATCTATTGCAGACACCTTGGTGGTAGTGGTGGTGATGGTGAGGTTCATTTAAATAAGAAAGGCTCATGGATTGCCGGTCATACTGTGATCCTTACCCAATGTTATCATTAAGTGGCTAAGCGGGTCAGCATAAGACAACTATGGGTAAAATAAAAACATATGATGCAATTGGTCATTATACATGAGCTCAGGTTTAGTGTGAACCTGAGTGCATGGAAACATGGAAATTAGGCATCAGTGCATGCCCTATGAGCTGTGGCTGGGGCATCTATGGCCATATGAGGCCAATGATGTCACCAGCACCCTTTTGTTTCCCTGGGACGAAGGGGTTGGGCATGAATTCCCTCGGCCCGTGTCATGTTTCTATTACTGTCTACATCCTTTTTAGGAAGATACATTCTCTCGATTTGTCTTGGTGACCATTGTGACTAAAAGTGAATTAGAAACCAACATTTTGAGTTGCCACCAGAATAGTAATGAAAGGGACATTTCCCAGTGGGGACACTTGTGCCAGTGGCAAATGTTTAGGAGGGAACAGTCTCGTTAATCAACCCTACTAGGAATGCGGGGTCCAAAATAAAGATTGCTACAGTGCATCATGATAGAAACAGTCCTGCCTATAGTAGGTCTCTACAGAAAACCCCCCAATGGCGGCCATACATTTATGATGATTGCCCCCTATTTTGGTAGGCATGGCCTACTCTTGACCTGAGCAGACCACACCAGACCATTCCAATCTAGCCATTCTATGTGGAAAGGATCAGCTGGGATGGACTATTGTTTGCCTCAGATGTAGCTAATGATGTAAATGACTACAAAGAACATAATATGTATGCTTCACGGATATAAGGTGTCTGTGCTTTGAAATAATAAAGTATTTGGAAGAGCAAAGTATTTTCTCACCTATAGGGAATTAGAACTCGGTGTCAAGGACAAAGCCATAAATAATTTATATTTGACGGAAGGTGTCTTATAAATTAACTTTATCAGAGTCTACATAGAAGGCTGAAAGATAAACTGAGTCTTATCTAATGTCTAGGCTTATCCATAACCCAGAAAGCTCCAAAGAAAGTCTTGTCGTTGGAACGGATATCTACTTGGTCAACGGCAGTCACGTTTACCTTCAGCTGATCACCTCTTATCAGATGAAGCAGGCCAGCCAAGTAGATCGTTTGCTGTCCGTTTTTGACTGCTTTTCCACTGAAAAGAATCTCCGGGTCGCCATAGTTGCTATTCACCCTCACGATCTGCGATACAAAGTGTTCTCCAAAGTTGGAAGGAATCTTCAAGGACACTTGAGAATAAACAAAATAGAATCCCTCCTTTGGAATCTTGATTGACTTATTTTCATACAGCATTCCGCCCCCTACAAAAGCCAACCCGTTACTCCATTCCCACTGTAGGATATGGTCCTTTGTCTTTGCAGTGGATTGGCTTGTGCCTGAAAAAGGAAACACAAGTTCTAATGAATCAAACATGATATGTAATTCACATTGTACAGGTAAAATTATATGTAATTTCAGGAGGTAAATTAAAGATGAACTCATGTCACTAAATAAAGCTTATGAGGAATATATAACACTGTTTTTTCAAAGGGATGATGCAAAAAGTAAAGCGTACCTTCCTCCATGGTCCTATGAAATTTGGTGCTCTGGTCCAATTCTCAGTCGTCTTAGAATGTAGTCATTGTGTGGTCATCATGTAGAAAGCAGGACCCGTGGTGGCCACGGGTCCCTTCCTCCATGGTCCTACACAGGCTGACGCTCTGGTCCAATCCTCACTCATCTTAGAATGTGGTCATTGTAAGGTCATCATGTACAAACCAGGACCAGTGTTGGACACTGCTCCCTTCCTCCATGGTTCTACACAAGTCGGCGCTCTGGTCCAATTCTCACCCGACTTAGAATGTGGTCATTGTGTGACCATCATGTACAAAGCATGACCCGTAGTGGCCATGGGTCCCTTTCTCCATGGTCCTACACAAGCTGGCCCTCTGGTCCAATTCTCACCTGTCTTAGAATGTGGTCATTGTGTGGTCATCATGTACAAAGCACCAGTGGCGGCCGATTGTCCTGCATTTTACTTAATAACATCGGTGGGAGGGGTGGCAACATGACTGGTCAGCAAACCAGAAGAGCTGCTTTGAAGGACTGCTCATCACTAATGGATCCGGTGTGCAGGACCATGGAGTAAGGGAAGATATACTCAATGTTACATCATCCCCTTGAAAATATGAGCCTTATACTGTCCATCAGCTAGAGAGGCGGGCATAATTATTATTTTACGTCCCAGAAATAAGCTTTAAAGTGTATGTAGTTAGTTTTGGATAGAGTAGGGAATGGTTAAACCCCCATTGGCATTACCTATCACTTCTTGTTCCAGAAACACAACAGGAAGTTTGAGGAAACCTCTCCAAAGTGAGTGGAGATCCCCCACAGAGACAACTGTCAATGGAACAGGTGACACCATTGGAAGATTTCCCCTCTGTTCCTGTAAAATTATGATTTTCCGATCACCTGCTGTCTCAGTGACAATGGTCACCAGGACAGATAGAGAAGGTGACCCAACCCAGCAAGGATAGAAACAACAATTTAAACCTCAAAGATGTTCTTACTCTTCCTTACTCAGTCCAAAACTTTAGATACACTTTAAACCCTATAGGTCAACTCACTTTCTTTTCATGACTTTAGAATGTTGTTTCTAAAGTCTCGAACTAGGCAAAGAACTCAATCTTGCTTCATCTTTTCTGCTTAGCTGCGTCCTTAGGTCCTTCAAGTAACTTAAACGTTGAGGCTTCTGGAGACTAATGTGAGACAGCCATAGCCATTAGTCTAAGAGGATGGCAGGAAGAGAGCTATACCCGGGATACCAGAGAGAAATACTTGTCATAATGGAATGACAGCATGGCACAGTGAATGGATGATGGATGGTAGGATTCTGAATAAATGGACATACAGTATATTATGGACATACAGTATATTTTGAGCTAACGTTAAAGGAGAACTATGCGGTCAGGGCTTTTCCCCATAGTTCTCCTAAGGGTAACGGGAGGACACAAACTAGTGTCCTCCCGTCACCCAAAGCTCAGTATACCGAAAGCTACAGCTCGCGGTATACTGAGACGCTGGAGCCGGGACGGATCCCGACAATTCTGTCTGGATCCACCCAGCTGTGTGAGTGACAGCTGGCTCTGCCTATCTAGAGGCAGAGCCAGCTGTACCCGCCCCCTCCCCCGTCCGTTCCGTCAGTCAGCGCTGGAGGATCGGAGCGGGGAGGGGGGAATCCCTGCAGGGAGCCATGAGTGACAGTTACGGCTCTCTGCAGGGACAGGATCGAGAAGTGAGCGAGCGACGGTATGTGTTCGCTCACTTCCCGATTTATTGAGCCGACATGTGACAGTTTAATTGTCACAGGTTGGCTAGAACAATGAGGCTGAGTGATTTTCATTCACCTCATAGTTCTCCATTAAGGTGTGCAATGTCTTACAGTTTGTCTTCTCTAGAAAGTAGTCAGGCCTTAGTAGAAAAGCCTGGCCAACATGCTGTAGACAAGGTCCTTTGCTTTCTGTGTGAAAGCATTGGTATCTCCGCAGAGGTCTGACATGCCCCCTACCTAGTCAAAACCTGAGCTCTCCAATCAGCAAAGCTCATGCTCCCTTCTTTTTTGGAGAATCCTAGCCCTTTTCTTTCCTGTATTAGGCACCAATTTAAATAAGAGCTTCCTATTCCCGTAACCAACTGAGGACTATGCAAAATGGTCACATCATAAGTACCTGTTAAATGGGCTCTGGGTTTCTCCTCAATATTCTGGAGAGCTCCTTTAAAAAAAACAAAACAGATATAAATAAACATTCATTAAAATGTATATCAGTTAAACACTAAATGATACAGCTCATTATGTAAACTTGCAGAACCTCTTAAAATTGAGAACCACCAAAAGGACAGACCGGTACCAGACATGGAACAATATTTCCAAATATACAAAGCACTTCCTGTCCAATAAAACCACTGATTGCACAAATGGTACATTTTGCCTAACATGGTAGATGTAGGAATTGAAGCACAAGGCCAATTGAAATAGTCCAGGTACAACTTTATTCCACTAGGGTCAGGCGACAATCAGGTAGAGTAGGCTACTCTACTTGACTGTCCCCTGACCCCAGTGGAATACATTTGTACCTGGACTATTTCAATGGGTGTGGTGCTTCAATGCCTACATCTACTGTGTTCATTGTTAGACCAAGGATAATGTGGAGACCCTTAGGCCAGTGATAGCCTCCAATGCATCAGCCTCATTACACATATTCACATCACTTAACTACCACTGGATGAGAAACAATAACAAAATAATCACACGGGTCCAGCGCTCTCTTTCCACTTCCAAATATTTCTGCCGATTTGGCTTAACATGACTGTCATAAATACCCTTTACCCTGCCTTGAGGGCCCTAGCTCAAGCACTTCCTGGTATGTGACAACACTTTGTCCCTCTCAATCTTTCCCACAGGCTTCTGATGTAGACTATAAGTGGCCATTTTAGCACACACATTGCACAGGCATGGTGCGCTGTTTTTGGAAGCCTTCTCCGAGAAATGCCATGCAGCCAGGGGCATACCTAGCCTTTTTGCTGCCTGAGGGGACAGTGGAAGAGGGCAGGGAGATGGGTAGACATGTGCGATTCGTTTCGTTACGAATCGAAATTCCTACGAATTTTCCTGAAATTTGTAGATTCGTAAGCATCCGAATTTCTTTGAAACAGGAACTAATATTACCCCTGTAAAATGTAAATGAGGTTGAACAACATGACAAGATTTTTTTTTTAATCCGAAATACGGATCCGCTGCTGCTGAGAGTTGCATTACAATACACAGGCAGGAAATACGAAATTCCGTTGACGTATTTTCGTTCCGTTACGAACATTCGTTATATTGAAGTTAAAAAGCAAAGTACATTTATATTGGAGTTGATGGTAGTTTTTTTTTAAGTCCGAAATACGGAATTCGAATACGGAATCCGTTAACGGAATTCGTATTTCGGGTAAAAAAACAACTACCACATCGACTCCAATATTAACAAAGGTATTTTTGCTTTTTAACTTCATCATAACGAATGTTCGTAAAGTTACGAAAATGTGCCGAAACTAACGAAAATTCGTATTTCGTACGAATCCGAATTGAGTTTCGGTTACGAATTACGAAATAACGGATATTACGAAACGGAACACATTTTTTGACGGCGCACAAGTCTAGAGGTGATGCTGGATGGTGCACAGTCAGTTGGAGGGGGTGATAGTGCTTGTGGAGAGCGCTAAGAGCTGGGCCAGGAGATGTGTAAGGGCTCTGGCTTGGCTGAATGCTCTGGCCAGCTTATCAGCCAAGCTCCCAGCAACCAGTGATGTCCACCAACCTCTATGTCACTACAGGACACAGTGGAGACATAGCAGTTGGCAGGAGGAACCACTGAGCACAGACGTAGACCAGGAGATCAACCTTCATGCATTTACACTCTTCTTTTGCAGGTACATAATTCTAATTGTCACTTGTTTTGTCACAATGAATACCACTATGCTAATCAGTGTCCAAATTAAATGGCTTATAGACACGCAGATGTATTTTACACATATTAGAGTCAATCACTCTTACTTCGCCACCTTCCTCTGTCTCTGTCACCCTGTCTGCTTAATACACCATCATTAAAAAAGTCCCTTATTAATAGGCACATTTTGAAATCGTTATCTCACTTTGGAAATGGCCAACATAGATACATATCTCCAATCATTTTCAGTTCTTTGGCAGCGTATTTTATCCTTCCATCTCTGCCAATTCCATCATGCAGAATTGTCTACATTGAGGAATACTACTGAGCAGAACATGGTGGTATTTCAGCCGGGAGGTCTTGGAGGTGGCGCTCAATAAGGCAATGGGGGTTAGCAATCTAGATTCCCCCCAATATCGAAATGTTATTGTTGGTAGGATTAGACTTTCTGTAGGCCATTTGTTATGCTTCAAGATTCTTAAAGGAGAACTATGGGGTTAAGGCTTTTCCCCATAGTCCTCCTATGGGTAACGGCAGGACACAAACTAGCGTCCTCCCGTCACCCTAAGCTCAGTATATAGGGAGCTACAACTCGCGGTATACTGAGACGACGCAGCTAAAACGGATCCCGACAATTATGTTTGGATCCGCCCAGCTGCGTGAGCGACAGCTGGCTCTGCCTATCTAGAGGCAGAGCCAGCTGTGCCCGCTCCCTCCCCCATCCGTTCCGCCAGTCAGCGCTGGAGGATCGGAGCGGGGAGGGGGGAATCCAGTCCCTCCCCTGTCACGGCTCTCTGCCGTGACAGGATCGAGAAGTGAGCGAACGCCGGTATGTGTTCGCTCACTTCCCGATCTACTGAGCCGACCGATGACAGTTTCATTGTCACAGGTCGGCTAGAACTATGAGGATGAGTGAAAAGCACTCACCTCATAGTTCTCCTTTAATTCAATTTATAGACTTGGGAACCCAGCAATAGAGACAGAAAACATCATGCTCACCAAATGACAGAGGTCCATTACATTGTATGACTGGTATTCATGGCCTTGGATACAAAATATCGCAACATGCACATGAACGTTCCCATTTAACCAGGCATAGCTAGCCACAGTTTGTCACACTCAACTGGACTTGTTCCATGTTGCTGTTTCCTCGCTCATCCAGTTGGGAACATACATCAGCATCTATAGCCATACGGGTATCTCAGTCACCTTGATCCAAACACCAAGGTGGAATGTAATGCAATACGGCATATGTTGATTGTCCAAAAACATGACCTTCTTTCGGGGACAGCAGGGTGCACATTTTGGTCAGAGAGGACAACCGGTTCACAAAAGCTGTGTAAGAAGCCATATACATCAAACTAGAACAAACATTCCTGAGCATAGGGTGAGGACCTTCTATAGTATCTATCACCCACATATAATGCTATGATTTAATTTCCTCATTCGGGCAAATTGACAGTCATTAACACCTTAAGCCCATGACACTTACAATTACCACCTGCATCAGACTACACGGCACCCTAAGATTGGAATATGTAATTAGAACGTGATGGTTTCACACCTTCTGTCATGTTTCAGACAACCAACACCTACCTTGACACATTCCATAGTGATTGGTTAATAAGAGTGAAAGAGGCCATCTACATCAAACTAGAACCATTGCTGAACAAGGGTTAGGGCCTTCGATACCATCTATCAACCATATATAATGATATGATGTAATATTTTTATTCGGTGAGATTTGACACTAATCCACACGTTAAGCCGCATGATTCTCACAATTAACACATGTGTCAGACTCCATGGTACCATGAGCTTGGATTATGTAATTAGAACACGGTGGTTTCGAGAACTTTCACACTTCCTGTCATGTTTGAGATGACCAACACCGAGCTTGACACATTCCATAGCAATTGGCTAATAAGAATGAAATAGGCCATCTACATCAAACTAGAGCAACCGAACCGTGAACAGGGTTGAGGGCCTTCTATACTATCTATCAACCACATATTAAAGGAGAACTATGAGGGGCGTGCTTTTCACTCACCTCATAGTTCTAGCCGACCTGTGACAATGAGACTGTCACAGGTCGCCTCAGTAGATCGGGAGGTGAGCGCACACATGCCGTCGTTCGCTCACTTCTCGATGCTGTCTCGGCTCTCTGCCGTGACAGGGGAGGGGATGGATTCCCCCCTCCCCGCTCCGCCAGCGCTGAAGGGGGTGGGTACAGCTGGCTCTGCCTCTAGATAGGCAGAGCCAGCTGTCACTCACGCAGCTGGGCGGATTTCGACATCGATGTCGGGATCCGCTCCGGCTGCGGCGTCTCAGTATACCGCAAGCTGTAGCTCGCGGTATACTGAGCTTAGGGTGACAGAAGGAGGACACTAGTTTGTGTCCTCCCGTTACCCTAAGGAGAACTATGGGGAAAAGCACTGACCCCATAGTTCTCCTTTAATGCTTTGGTTTAATCTTTATTTTGGCTATTTGACAGTAATTCACACCTTCAGCCATTTAACCCAAACAATTAACACCCGTCTTAGATGTTATGGCACCATGAGATGGGATTATGTGATTAGAGCGGGGTGGTCTCTCAAACTTTTATACCTCATGTCATGTCTTTGGACAACCAACCTCTACCTCGACCCAATCCATGGTGAATGGTTTAAGGCAGGCATTGAGAGGACCAAATCTTTAGAGGGGGCCGATTAATGTCTATTTAAGGTTGCACCTACTTACCGGTAATTCCAGAAAAAGATTGGTGAATACCACCCCTCTGTTAGACTCTGCGCCTTAGCGTAGCCAGATATAGTCAAGGTAGGGTCTGCTCAGTTGCTCAATTCATGACCCGGAGAACAGTTGGAGTCACATAAAGTGCAACTATACTTTAAGGAAATCTTTTTTTTCATTGTTTTAACCATTCCTCCCACCCGCTTGAGTGCTGCCCACCTGGTATTATACTTACCTTCAGCCCAGCTCAGAGCGGCATGGTTAGCAATGGCTGCCCCATATGTGTGTATGCACGCCATGGCCCCATTTATTCTTTTGAGAAAGCCATACTCATGGCAGCCTCAAGCAGAGGCTCAGAGTAAGACATTAGATGGCCACATGTGGCCCATAAAACACCAATTTGACTTGATTGAGGTGACTGAGGTACCAGTGCTGGGCTATAAATGTTCCGAAAACGAATCAGCATCGAGGACATTCATTGGATGAGCAGACAATCATCTTCAACATTACAGAACAAATCCAGTCAAATGTGACCCAACTACTACCATCTCCCCCACCGTTCAGAATTACCAATGCGGAAATGAAGCTTTGTGATACATACCAGATGTCTGGGGGCACCTTTCCGTCTGAAAAAAAAAAAGAAAGGACACATTAAGAAACAGATTTTAGGCAATACTATCAAAGCGCAGAACCAACTATTGCAGCCTGTCCATCCTTAAAGGAGAACTATGAGGGGAGTGATTTTCACTCAGCCTCATGGTTCGAGCCGACGTGTGACAATGAGACTGTCACACGTCGGCTCAATAGATCGGGAAGTGAGGGAACGCATACCGTCGCTCGCTCACTTCTCGATCCTGTCCCCTCAGAGAGCCGTGACTGTCACTCACTGCACCCCGCGGGGATTCCCCCCCTCTCCGATCCTCCAGTGCTGACTGGAGGAACGGACGGGGGCGGGTACAGCTGGCTCTGCCTCTAGATAGGCAGAGCCAGCTGTCAATCACTCAGCTGGGTGGATCTCGACAGTAATGTCGGGATCCGTCTCGGCTGCGGCGGTCTCAGTATACGGCGGGCTATAGCTTGCTATATACTGAGCATTGGGTCACGTGAGGATGCTGGTTTATGTCCTCCCGTTACCCTTAGGAGAACTATGGGGAAAAGCACTGACCCCCCATAGTTCTCCTTTAAGGGCTCATGAATGCATTCTTAAATGTAATCTCAAAATACAAGCAGTGTAAGTACCTGACTACGACCTGGCATCAGCCCCTGTACAGCAGAGCTCCGACTGTGAGAAAGAAAACAGCTCAAGGAGCCAATCAGTTAATGTGATATCATGGAGAATGCTAACAGAAGGAGAAGGCAAAGTGACGGAGAGATGAGATCTTCACCGTGCTGCTTCTCCTTTCACTGTCCAGTTGCTGGCTGGTCTTGGATTGTTAAAAGGAGCTTCTGCAGCCCTCAAAAAGCCATTTTATTGACTCCTATGCATTTCTTTAAAAATGGTCAATGAAATGTGTTGCCCTTAGCAACCAATTTCCTAAAGTATACTATGAAACAGAGAAGGGGAGCTAAGGGTTGCTAAGGGCAACACAGGCAGTTCTTCTTTGAGGCACTTGTAGACATCTCCAACTATTTTTTGTTCAGGTGGGTAAATACGCGGAAGGTTTTATAAGCTAGTAGAGTCCTGTCCTGCATCAAGAAGGGAATGTTTTGCAGGGATAAGTCTATAATTTTGCCACTTTACACATCACTGGTTCGGCCTCACCTGGAGTATGCGGTGCAGTTTTGGGCACCGGTACACAGAGGGGATGTCCTTGAACTGGAGAAAGTCCAGCGAAGGGCAACCAAACTCATCAAAGGGATGGAGGACCAGAGCTATGAGACACGGTTACTAAATTTAAATATGTTCACGCTGGAACTAAGGAGATTAAGGGGGGACATGATTTTCATGTACAAAATGTTCCATAGTCAAAGCAACATTAGCAATAAACTCTTTACGATTAATTTGGTAACAAAGACTAGAGGCCACCACCTGAAATTGGTAGAAAAAAAATTCAAACACAAGGGGCGGAGGGGGTTCTTCTCAGTTCGCACGGTTAGGGTCTGGAACTCGTTGCCACAAGCAGTGATTTCAGCTAATAGTCTGGAATCATTCAAGAATCTTTTGGACGATTTCCTGAGAAACGGTAATATACAGGGGTACAAGTACTCCTAAAAACGAGATGACTCAGGGATCTTTACACACACACACACACAATAGGTTGGACTTGATGGACATGTGTCTTTATTCAACCTCAAATACTATGTAACTATATATGGCTGGGAACCAAATGAATTGATTGGCCAGAGCGCCCGTGAAAAAAGATGTCCCTGATGTTCCCAGCTCTGGTTATGAAATAACACTTTGTAAATTATTGAGCACAAGGTCATCGGCTGGTGTCCCGGCAGACAACAAAACACCATTCCTGATGGGTTATATGTTACCGATTAGTTGTTGTTTTTACTTTGCACGCTCTCTTGTTGTTATGGAAGCGCATTTAAGCGCGCTCTCCAATCCATTGTTCCTCAACCTTGTTGCAGTCACGGCGCTCTTTACGCTACCCCAATCTAAATGTAAAAATGTAAAGAACGACGTGTGGCCCCCAACAGAAATTCGCCCCAGGCCCTTATCTGAGATAGGGGTCAGGTATGGATTTTAAGGGGGAGGGATTCCATGCAAAAAGACAAAAAGAAATGGGGTTTCCGTCTTCAGATTAAAGCCCCCACTGCAATTCAGGAGCTCCTCCCCCTTCACATCAGAATCCTGCCTTTCACATTAGAGTCCCCCTTCACATCAGAATCCTGCCTTTCACATTAGAGTCCCCCTTCACGTCAGGAGCCCCCTCCTTTCACATTAGAGTCCCCCTTCACATCAGAATCCTGCCTTTCACATTAGAGTCCCCCTTCACATCAGGAGCCCCCTCCTTTCACATTAGAGTCCCCCTTCACATCAGGAGCCCCCTCCTTTCACATTAGAG